GTTAAATTACTGGTGTAGTTTTACATGTATGATGTCGTATATGACAATATGTATGAGAGTCGACCGTAACTGATGAATGCTGACATGCGTTGTGTCGTGCGTTTGCAGGTCATCGGCGGGTCTGTGCTGGAGAAGGTGCTGCGATGCTGTATTTTGTATTACCGGAAGAGCAGCGCGGCTCATTTGGCGATGCACTACAAGGACGGCTTCGGATCGGTTTGCATCGTCGTGATGGCAAAGAAGTGGCTCACACATATTCATGACTACGATAAGAATAGGTGAATGATACAAAGGTTTTAATTGTATTCTTGTTTTAATCAATATTGTTCCAGTAAATGAAATCATATCAATAACAGTACTGATACTTATATTAATAATAATAATATTAACGAGTATAACTACAGAATGAAAAACAATAATAATCATCAATGGGTTGTTAATGTGAGGCAGGTTTGTAGTATGCAGGAAGTGTGCTTTTTTCTGGCAAGAAAAGTGTATCATTTCAGTTTGTCATAGGAAATGAGGGGATTTTTTGTTATGTGAAAAAAATGAACATAACATTGTTGACTATGTAAAAAGAACATCCAATCACTGCTGTTAAAGCAACACGATTGTTTCCTCTGGCCGAACGCTTTTAACCCACTCAAAGTGTTTAGGTTAGGTGTTTAGGCAAGAATGAGTACGTTTCATCTGTAGACCTTTGACAGAATGTTAACAAGTCGCATCTAAAATACTAACAAAGTATAAAAACCTAGAAAAGAGAAGTGTCATATATTTAAATGCAAAAACGTAACATAGAGAGGACAGAGAACAGGACGACGTAGCCAAGATCAAACTGTACAAGTAGGTGTCCTGTCAGAATACAGTAGTGTTGATTAAAGATCTTTCTATAGACTATCGTCAATGTCGACAACGAGAATTTGGTCATGAAAGTGAAAAGAAGGAAAAGTAATGTTGTAATTGTTGGTGGGGTTTTCCTAGCGTTTCGTAGCAGCTTTGACTGAGAATACAGACTAACTGAATTGACATCTGTTGACGGAAATAATACAGTCCCTCTTCCACCAGTCAATGTAGTTGGGTGAGAAGTTGTTGTAACATTCACAGACTGATTGAAGTTGCCTTATGTGCAGTCTTAATCGGTTGACAATTATGAACATTTAACGTAAATGGGCAATCTTAGCAGTTGAAGTGATTTGTCACGAAGCATTTTAATGTTTGTTTTGACTAAGATGGAGGTGGATTCAGAGTAGTAATAGTAGGTTGCGATCAAGCGGATAAGTGCTCTAAGATTAGAGCTGCGCAATATATATTGTTTTAGGATTAATATGGCAACGTGTGAATGCGCAATATGGACTGTAAATGAGGAGTTTTGTGTGTTTTGAGATTGATGTTATAATTGATTTTATTTCCCCCATCCGTTTATGCTTTTGAATCGCGTTACGGGACCTTAAAAAGTAAATGTTGAAAAGTTTTTGAAACATTTTGAATAGTTTAAAGCGATAAATAGTCTGGCTTAGAGGTGTAACACCTTGCTATAAACTGCCAGTACATTTCTTGTTATTTTACTGACTCGTTATGCGTTGCATGAATTTTCAACATCAAAAGCCCACAGAGCAGAGATCAACCTCCCATGATGCAATTGACAAGCGTAAATAAAGTGGAAAAAATGAGTCAATCACAAAATAGGTGCAAATGTGAAAGGAACAGATATTGTGTGATCAGTGCAGTATGCTGGAGATCGGTGTATTGACGCAGATGCGCCTCCCATTGAATATAAATGTATTTGCATTTACATGGGCAAAATAGAGCTATTGAAGTTTTTTAGCGGAAGATCGCAATAGAAAACTAGCACAATGTAAGTTTTTAGCGGTAATGTTTTGGAACTTTTTATTAGCAGGCCTATGTAAATCCTCATATGTAGGCTTCAGACTACATATAAAAACATAGAAATGTACAATTGGCTAGACTGAATGTGACGCGGTCACAGACCTGTGGCCTAAATGAAAGTTTTGAATCCATGACCAACTAACCGACTTTTAATCCTTCCCTGATACAAATCCATGCGGTAGTACGGTTAAAGTATTATGTTTGTAAAAAAACAAACACAGTAAGCGTTTTGTAGATTTGGAGGTGTAAACAGCAGCGTCGACTGTAGTATAGCTGTAACGTGTAGCTAAAGTTAAAACGTAGTTTGTTTGTATCTGTGACAGCGCTACTGGTAATAAAATAAGGTCAGATGGATGGAAGGTGTACAAGTGGAAAAAGTAAAGGACACTGAATAGATCCTTGTATATCAACATACAGTAGTTTACACGAGCAGACAGTGACGATTCCATCCATGTTAACGTTTGTGGGAAAAGTTTAAAATGAATAATGTAGACATGAGAATTGTGCGATCGATCGTGTCAAAGGCCTTCCTGAAGTGGAGCACCGACGACCCCACCATAAAGACTTGACTTTTCATATGAAGTAGCAACTGGCCATCTCAGTCGAATAGTTTGTTGTGAACCCAAACTGCAATCGTTGGTAAGGAAGAGAAGTATTGTGGAAAGAACGAGTGATTTGCGTAGCTATTAGTTTCTCTGGAATGTTGGAAAAATACCAAATAGGTGGATACTTCCTAGCAGATTGAGGATGCGCACTTTTGAATACAGGCAGAAGAGTAGACGATTTTGAAGGGCTGGAAACATCTTTAAAGTAACAGATAAATCGGTCATATGAACGATAGCATGAAGTAACGAGTCATAACTTTGCTTTGGATGATTTAAGAGATGGAATTGTTGTTTTGATGTGCAGAAACAGATGTTAGAGTAACAGTTTCCGCTGTATGTATTTGATGAGCTTGTAAATAATTGGCATAGAAACACTGTGTGATTAAGGCTACCAAGTGTTGAAAATAACGAAGCAGTTGAGCTGCATCCGCCGGTTTATTAGTCAGTTTCACCATTTATCGTCAATAAAAGCGACGAGCTATGTTTTGTTTTATCACCTTTTAAGTAGTTGAACTGATTCCATGTCGAATTAGAATGACCTATTGCTACTTGAATTATTGTCATGAAAAAAAGCATCCTTTGCTTTCATGTCTCATCAATTAGAAGTTTGTCTACTTGGCACATTTATACATTTTTCCAGCATAGTCTATTGTAATTCCCAGAGATGCACTTCCCATTTAATATATTGTAAATGATATATTGTGGAACATTTGCATTTACAAAATGGCAACATTTGACATCTTACATGACATTGTGACATTGATTGAAGAGAGAAGAGCAAAGCATTTAGAAAAATGGCAAAATCCAGTCCTTAAACAATTAAAACAATCAGGCTTTAGCAATTTAGCTAGAGGCAAAAGAGTTTGCTACATACACAACGGTAGGGCTGACGTATGCAGAGGTAAATAGTCAAATAATTTGTTTGTTTTTTAGGTTTTTCACATGAAGGAGGAAAGGAACATGGCATGAAAAATTGAACTGGGGAAAGAAAGTTTTGACTTTTCATAGAGAATATAGTGTTCATGTAGAGAAAGGACGTGAAATTTTGCAATGTATTGAGTGTCATTTGTAAAGTAATTGTATTAAAATAGTTTGAGCATTGTTAGAAAAGCGTGTCGATGGTTTAACGGTAAAGTATTTGTGTTGTATTTGTGAAAAGACCAAGTGTAGAGTGTACGAAATAGTGAATGGGTGGATGACAACTGCTGTTATTGATAGATGTGGCCCGGTTATCAGTCTCTGTGTGTTTCAACAGAGAAGTCAGTTGTTGTGTAGAGAAGCTCCTGCTGAGTTGAAAGGGAGATGTTGAAGCAGTCGATTTAATTTTGTGCAGTTCTGTGGCCACAGATTTCTCGTAGAGGCGAATGATATTTTGATACGGGAGGCAAAAATGTGATGTGTACTCATTGTGTAAGAGAAGACTAAAAGATATTGAAAGAAAAGTGTGTATTATTTTAGGGTGTGTGGTTGTTGCAGAAGTTTAGTGAAGTAGTTTTGAAACATACGCAAGAGCGGTTTATAAGGAGACAGGGCAGAGTATATTATGGCATAGTTAGAGTTTGTGTCTTAACGATGGCAAATGTGTTTGCGCAGTCTTTATTTGTGCATGTCTTTGTTTAGGATGAAGGAAATACTGTGCGCCTCTATTAGATGTGGTTTGATGGTGTATGCGGAAGAATTATTTGAAAGTATCCAGCAAAATGTCAGGAAGTGCTGTTTTAATGGCCACAAATGCAGTAGAGTAGTAGAAGAGTAGCAGCCATAATGTACAAGTCATGGAGTCTAGCAGACACACAGCATTTCCCATAGAGGAATCAGTAAAATAATTGATAATAATAATGTTTAATTATTATTATTATATATATGTATATATTAGTAAACCTAATGTAGATAAGAAAAAGTGTGAGGTAAGATATTAGAAGAAATGAAGGCAATGTTTAGTTATTGATGAAGTTGACAGTGTTGGAAGTAGAATGTAAAAGTGGGGCAATGGGGTATATGCACAGAGACTTTTCATTTTGTTCCCTTGAGAAAATTGGCATGTTTAAAGGGTGATCATCACTGCTTAATATAGAATTTGAAGCGAGTGTCAAATTTGAGAAGAAGCTTTGTATTAGATGGCATTTTTCCCTGGCATGTCTTTAAAATAAGACCATTTATCTGAGCATAGTGGGCTAAAAGAAATAGTGACGGTTGGGGGGGGAAATAGAATTGAATGCAGTGCAGCTTGTCAATAGAGTTGCTGCTGGTATTGATGGCAGGCGGTGTTGCTTTCATGTTGTTTTATGCTTGAACAACTAAATGTGATGTAAATATAAGTTTACATGTGTTGAAATTGTGTGCATACGCCCCATTACTATTTGAATGAAAGAACTTGTGCGTGTGTGTGTGTGTGTGTGAGTGAGTGTGTGAGTGAGTGAGAGAGAGATTTATATGGCTATTTCTTCTTCTAGACACCTTATTGTGAAATGGCCAATAGACAGTATAATGCACAGGGCAGTGAGCAAA